AAAGAAAAAAATATTCAGTTGGTTCTAAGATGAAAAAACGCTTTCCTACGTAAAAGATTGTACGTTTCTTCAGTCATTCTGAGTCATTAACATTCGGGGAAACAGAAAATTCGCGTTCGCAATTAACCGCAAGTGGCGAGAGCCTGTCTGGTGTGTCTTTCACCTTCTCGAAATGATGGAAAGTGGGGAAGACCGGACGAACTACGAGCTGGCTCTCTTTCGACGACGTTGAAAAATTTTCTAAACGTATTGCACACTGGTGAAGGGGGCGGTTGGTACGGGTCTGGCAGTACTCAGCCTTCACATTCTTCGGAGAGAAGTGAAAGCCAGAAGTTTCAGGGAAATTCTATGCGGAATCGAAACCCTTTTTCCATAGCGCTTCACTTGGATATGAATCGTTAAAAAAGTTTATCGTCTGCACGCTACGATTTTCTCTTCGAACCGACTGTTTCTTTTTTTCTTCTTCTTTTTTTTTTTTTTTTTTTTTTTTTTTTTTAATCGAAAGGATTTTTATCTTTTCGAAGTATTAAAAAGAAAAAAATTATTTGTGTTCGTTTAAAGAATATCATTTGGAATTGATCTCGGTCTAATTTCGTATCTTTGAAATTGCATTCTCTTTTTTTTTTTTTTGCTTTCGTCACATACCATGCAATATTCTTACTTTTATTAAAATTGTTTGTAGGGAAATAACATTTATGTTATGCTCTTTATACTTTCCGATTAATCTGAACATTGAACCAAGATTGAACACTCATACCGATTCAATGAAAGTTGTTCTTCTGGCAGAGACCTTAGGTCACTGGTATTCAAATACATTTAACGTAATTTATCTAGTGATTTTATACAAATTATCAAATATTTAACGAAGCACCATAATTATCACGTATTAAAATAGTTATAGAAAACGTAGTTTTCATTTGTAATGCATATAATACAATACCAAATTTTTTTAAATCAGCAAGTTAATTCGTTCGATCTGCAAAGCACGTTCAATTTTCAAATTCAACTCAACAAATGGAATACAATCGATACAAAGGGAAATTCGATAATGAATTCTAGTACAAATAATTTGTCCTTATTGTTCCATAAAAAGTATTGTTTGAAGCATCAGAGAGATATGATGCACGTTTGTCTCATTTCTGAATCATAAAAATATTTTTTTTTTTTTTTTACAAGATCAGATTATATTTGCGAGCGTATATACTTGAGCGGCCGTGCAGCAACTATACCGAGGCACAACGTCTTTAGACACCGTTGCGTGTCGACTTGCGAAAAGTTTTGAGCATTTTTTAGAATGTATCGGCTAGTGTCGGTTTTTCCTCACTGCTTACACAGGAACGAATGCCTGTGCCGTAAGGTATGCATGAATCGAATACGAAATATATACGTGTTCCTTAACACGTTTCACGAACTTATGCTTACAAACTTATATATACGTGCCATGTATGTATGTACCTATGATACGAATATATATATATATATATATGACAGAATATGTATATATGTAAAATAACTTATAATTATAGAGCAATCATGTAGAGTAATGAAAATCTGAATTTTTAGTTTACTTTCACAATTTATTGGAAAATTTTAGAAACTCCAGCTGATTTGAGTAAAAAAAAAAAAACCTTGAATTAAGCAAAATGGTTATACGAAATTAATTTTATTCCAATTCTTATTTGACAAGTGAAATTACACAAAGAATTATATAATAAATAGTATAAATAAGAGAAGTCGTTTCGAAGCTGCACGATTGTGCACGGTTGTACTAATGACGAAAATAATAGACACGTGTAATTAAAGGATAAAGATAAATGAACGTTGGAATTATAAAATAACGATGATTTTTATTAATCATGGATGTTGTTTTGGAAATCTTATTATACATGTATTGTAATAAATATATTTCTTATCTTTGAAATTGCATTTTGTACATATATATATATATATATGTATACATATATATATGTATATGTATACATATATATATATGTATATATATATATGTATACATATATATATGTGTGTATATGTATGTATACATATATATATGTATACATATATATATATGTATATGTATGTATACATATATGCATTATGTGCCGCGACATTGCCTAATAACATAGGCGTTGAAATCTCCCAACGTGTATCTACAACCACGTATATAAAATTCGTCTCAATAAATGTAAGAATTATTCTCGCGCTATTTGTTTCTCTTTTCGTATTTAAAATAAATAAGTCGAATTTTTTCCCGTAATAATATTGTAACAATTTATTATTAATTTTATTTTTATTAGAATTAATAATACTGTGTGAACTAAATTCAGTCAAAACGAATATACTAGTACTAAAGATTACAGATTGAATGTTTCACATATAATTACATGTTTCAGTAATGAAATTAAAAAACGGAATTAGGGAATCCTTGAAACATTCACTTCATATGCCACTTGCATTTCTGTTAATTACTTAAATGTATGATTAACTGAATAAAATAGATTGTCAGATAAATTACCGAGAAATCTTCACGATTATGTGTACAGCCATTAACAGCAATTGTGATTTCAACTTTTAATGAATATATTTTACAGACACGTGTGCCCACACATATATAAAATGCTATGTCCTATTACTTTTT